CCCCCCCCAAAGGGGGGGGGGGGGGGGGGCAGACCCATCCGTTCATTCCAAACTTGGACAAAATCGTGTCATTCTTACAGCAGAAGAAAGATTTTGAAGAATTTGCTATGTTTCCCCTATTGGGCCCGACCCCTCTGCCCCCAGGGGGTCAGACCCACCGTTTATACAAAATGAAGTCCCCTTCACCAAAGGATGCTTTATACTAAATATGGACAAAATCTTGTCATATTCCTACAGAAGAGGAAGAATTTAAAAGAATTCGCTACATTACCCCTATTTGCTCCACATTTCAGGCCCCAGGGGGATCAGACCCACCATTTATACAAAATTGATTTCCCTTCCCCATAGGATGCTACTGTTTAAATTTGGTCAAAATACCTTCATCCCAACAGAAGAAAGGGGATATTAAAGTTATACCTATATATATCCTTTATTGGGCCCGCCTCTCTGATGAAATCCGTAAATCCCTATGGTACATTTAGAAGAAGGATTTTAAATGTTTACCTCTATTTCCCCTTATTGGCCCGCCTCTCTGCCCCCATGGGGCCACACCTACCGTGTATACAAAGTTGAGTCCCCTTTGCCTAAGGATGCTCCAGACCAATAGTCAAAATCTACTTGGCCGTTAAGGACTAGTAGCGTTTAAAAGGAAAAGTTGACCAACGGACGGACGACGGACGGATGCTGAGGTATGGCATAAGCTCACCATGGTCCTTCGGACCAGGTGAGCTAAAAAGTAATGCATGGAATAAGTATTGGATATGGATTTTGTGTTACAATATTTTTATGATTGATTAGCAAAGAGCTGATTTACAACGAGAGATAAAACGATCTCGTTACATATGAACTTGTCAGTAGCTAGACTATATATAGTAGTTTTAAAATTAAAGAAACTCGTAATGATGATTGTATTTTATAAATTATTTCATAACATTATCTACTTTAAGCAATATGTACGTGCGTGTAAGTCATGCTTTTATGTTAAGGTTTGGATATACTTGCGTCATGCACGGGTGCGACGTAGATCTATATATGTGTACGGACAAGGCTGTGAGCCATACTTAGGTATGTCTATTATACATCTGGAGAAATCTTAAAACTACTTAGTTGAAGAAAAGGTAAATTATCTTCTATTTGTAATATATGTAGGGACCTGTGTAATTTTGTACTCTTGTAAGAGTTATTTCCCTTCTGGCGTTTGAGTTGGGAATTTATGGTTAGTGTACAGTGTATTTAGGGTTGTTTTATTATCTGTTATAGAATTTACTAAAAAAGACTAATGGAATAAATGAAACTATTTTAGCCTGTAGACTTAGTCATGTCATACTCGTACAATGAATAGCAACTATAGATATTGAATTATTTAGAGTGACTGGCTGACTGCTTCGTAACTGAAAATAACGTCCAAGTATCTTATTCCTGGCTTGAACGAAATGTCGCAAATGATTCCTGAAATTGGCGTCTTCACTTCCATTCACCTATAAGTCTGTAACTTCTAACTAAGTAGGCCTATTTTAAACTACCAATAATGATTTGTTGAAGATGTACACATTGATGAAGGCAGGTGGATAGGGCAGGGGAAGAAGTCATGTCTGATGTGGAAAAGGGAAAGGGAAGAGGGAGTGGGAGGGGGAGGGGAATCTGCAACATGTATTTCCTACTATAAAATATATAACTGACCTCTTCATATCCCCAACCCCTACTATCTATACACCGAAGGGAGCGAGTCAAGTGTAAAAAAAAGTTAACTCAAACAGACATTTTTTTCCCGGCAACACAGAATGGTCTGATGTCTATTGACCCTGGAGTGTCGGCTCTAACCTAGAAGCCTATCATTTACTTACTTGAGTTGTCTTTCGTTGACTGTTTGCCATTTTTTTAAAAATTTAGTTTGTTTGCAAAGTTCTGCCTGGCATGCATCTCTCACTGCCTTGTAACGTAGCAAGCAGTGTTCCATGGTCACTGATCGCTATTTGTTTACCCTCGACATGTCGCCATCTTGTCTGCAACTATATATGACGTCAGTATTCTATGACGTCATATTGTACAAAGGGAGACAACAAGCAGGCCAAAGTTTCCCTTCCGTAATTCACCTCATTCTGGCGTATATAAATGAAAAGGCTGCATTCGTTCATAATTCTATACAACAAATTAGGCATACTATCTCAATTTAAAGTTAGTTAGTTTAGTTAGTTAGTTAGTTAGTTTTGATAGTATTGGTAGCAGACTAATGTATGCAAAGTCACATACTATTTTAGATTTTTTTCGAAACTTATTATCAATAGAAATAAGAAGTAATATATTGTCTAAACTTATTTTTTTCTAAACATTTACTACGATTTCTGTGATACATTTACCAGACTGAACACACGTATAACCAAAATGTTTTCAAACCACGAAATTTTACTTAAGCGACACTTCATGGCATTATAAAGTTACAAAACTAAAATTGTTAATTACATACTCGGAACAATTTCACGGACTTTCCACACCACTCCCCCATTACAGTTAAAGTCGGTTGTATTACAATAAGCTCATTGAGAAGAACTTTGAAAATCAACTCCATGTATTTAACTGAAATGGAAGCAATGGCCGAAAATTATCAAACAGTTGTCGGACTTTGTCACAGGAACACGAACTGTCGACGTGAAATACGCACATAATTCAACGAAACGACATCAAAATCATCCTGAAAAGAAAAGAAAAAAACCTTTGTTCCCTGAGATTTCTAAAAGTTTTTAATTCACGGGTTCAAGTTATTTTTATATAACATTTTTGTACTTTGTATATATCAATAAGATTTACTACTAACTGACAACAATGTAATATTACTCCAGGGCTAAGATGTTTGAGTATTTTACACTGTAGAAAATTTCATGTACGTATGAGGAGAAAATACCACAAACAGACATATTTTGTTATTCATGTTTTTTCTTCTAAATTGTGACCGCAGGTGGATCCATGAATTTTAAAAGGATGTTCAGGTGGGGCGGGGATGGGTGGTTCAGCACTCTTTTGAAGTGATTTCTGTGTTATTGGCGGGACAAATGCTTACGTCGTGAAGCCCCCCTCGACTGGTATAGAGGCTTGCTCCTCTAGAGGAATAAACTTAAAATATGTAAGTGCTCTACTGAGATCTGGGGCATTTTAAAGGTGTGAAAGTTACATGTAGCAGTAGATCATTTTGAGTTATTTCACTCGGTATTGACACTAGCTTTTAAAAAATGTCCAGTAGAAATATAATAAAAATAAAACTAATTCCAGTATTATTCAAAAGCAAAGCCAAGCGAAGCAAGGCGGTATTATCCGATAGGTGTCGGGAAATGTCAGATTGTCAGAGTGGTGTTGTGTGATATTACACTGGTGCCTTGTGATGTCATATTGTAGCTGTGTGACTTCAAAGTGGTGTCATGTGATGTCAAAATGTGGCGCGATGTGATGTCATAGTGGTGTCCTATATATGTTGTCATAGTCTTGTGGTGTGATGTCATAATAGTGCCTTGTGATGTCAATGTTGTCCTGTCATGTCCTAGTGTTGTGTTGTGATGCCAGGGTTATATCGTGTGATGTCAGAGTGGTGTCCTATGATGTCATAGTGTTGTGATGTCAGAATAGTGCCTTGTGATGCAAATATTGTCCTGTCATGTCCTAGTGGTGTATTGTGATGCCAGGGTGATATCGCGTGATGTCAATGTTGTGTGTTCTGACATCAGAGTGGTTCTTTGTGATGTCAGAGAAGCAGAGGGTGATTTCAGATTGGCGTCGTGTGATGTCATAGATCTTGGAAGAGATGTTTCTAATATAATCTGACATGTCTGTATTGCTTACATAAAGTGGTACTGTCAGTGGGCAGGATAGGATCATCTTTCTGTGGAGTTGCTCTGATATTCATAAAGAAAACTCAAATGCTTCATATATTTAATTTTGGCGTTAAAATTACAAATGGCTTATAACGCTCCCAATCATTGGATCTAATGCTTATTTTATGTTTAAATGTGCTAACGTTCATTTATTGATATAACTTTCTCATAAAGATTCACGATTTGAAAGAAACTACATCCTGATTAAGCATTCAGGGTAATCACCAGTTCTACGTTAACAATATTTACTTACGTTATTACAACCATATCCTATATTGTACAAAGAATTATTGTCTATTGTTATTAGTTGATAATCCTTTTCAAGTCAAAACCCTTTTGACAAGTCGTCCAAAGTAAAAAAATCCACATGCTCTATTTTCAATTTTCGCATCGAGTTATGGTTTAGTTGACACTTCGGTATTCTCGTGTGTCTGTTGTCAGTCAATAACACTAGGTGTAGATATGTGAGGCATGCAGTTGTCAAACAATTTCAAAACAATTGTATATATGGTCCTTATACAAAGGGAAAATATAACGAGAGAATAGTCAAGTGGCTCTGTGGATAGCGCTCTTCCCTTTCAACAAGACGCACAGGGTTCGATTACCCGATCGGACGCGGAAAGGTACTGAGTTAACTGCCCGACCTCTTTGGTTCTCACGAGCTACCCCTGTTTTCTCCCACAGTAACACACATGTGTACTAACATCCGGTCCAACAAGAGTGATTAATGCTGTCTTATTTATTTTTTCTCAAAATTATTGCAAAATAAATGTTGTTATATAGATGAACTATTTTGGTTATATTACATCCCATGCCAGGTTCTTTTATAACCCCACCCCAACCCATCTTACAACCCCATCCAACACACGTACACACACACACACTCACACACACGCAATCACGCGCAGAACGCTAACATACACAATTGATAATCTTGACATGAAATTACCTCTGCCGTCCACTCGTGTTTGTGAGATATCCTCAGTATACAATCCATATTAGTTGTTGATACATCTGACCCAGCTTGTGGTGGTACCGATGCTGATGGCTGGTGGTAGCATGGCATTTTGTTCTCATCGGATGAATTCGGCAGCAAAACAAACAATTTGAATTTATCATACGCTAACCTTGCTGAAAATGGGTAATATTTCAGAATCGTTTCGAAGAACGCGTGTTATTGTACGATGAGATTATTGCTTTGGAAGTAAGCAGCAATTTATCATTTTTTAAGAATTTCGCTAATTCTCCCGATTTTTCTTAAGACGATTGTTTGCAAATCGATCATACGCATATATAATTTTATCAAATATATAAAGAAAAAAAGAAAAAAAAACACCTTCAGGCTATCTCTAGAATACAAAACATGTTTTATCTGTGATTGAATCTAAAGTTAAATTCATATCTCGATAGAAATATTACATATTTTGTCACCTTATATTTGACTAATAATTAATACTGAAGTCAGTGGTATAAATGGCAAAAATCCCCCAAGACAACCGCGGGGTGCCATTACATTAGTAGCCATGGTTTCGTAACTTACGTTGCGCATTTAAAACTCGCAAAAACACGCCACTGTTACTTAATAAACAAACAACAAACAAACAAACAAACAAAACAGCAACGTCATTTATATAGCCTAGACAGTGAATAAGTTGGTTACAAAAGTAATATACTGTAAAAGCTGGGTAGTTAAACAACGGATAAACGATGACTTGACATTGGGATTAGAGATTGCTATCTGAAACCACTGTTGTATACCATATATCATCCTCGATATCCAGGGGTTACGCTCACTTTCGCTCTCTACACCCCTGGAATATGTCATAGCAACATCGAAGGCACTCGACTAGCTATATGATTGGTGTCAGGAAAAATACCTCTTTTGATGTGCATCAAAGGACCAAACTGATCTTCTCGTCTCACCCACAAGGTGCTGCACACTGAACCTTCAATTTTGCTATGACATATTCCAGTGGTGCAGAGAGCGAAAGTGAGCGTAACCCCTGGATATCGAGGATGACCATATATATATATAAGGTACTGTGCTGAACATACAACTTTTCATCATGCACAATTTTAATTTTCGTTTTGTTGAAGTTTCCAAAAATGTGCATAGGAAATGATAACGGGCTAATAACTTAGTTAATACAGGAATGCAAGCACAAAATGATTCTCGAACTTACATAATGTGCAGTGAGACTGCATCTGATAGAAAGAGACAGAAATTAAAGCTGCCGATGCGTTTTATCTTGTTCAATGTCCAACTTACCTGTAAATGCCGAGTCGTCAAAGCCTGGTTAGCTTGTCTGTTCATATTACTTACCTTGACAGGAATTGTTTACATTAGGAATGTTTATATCAGTCACCATTACATGAACACTCTAAAATTACTTTGAAAGTAAATGAAAATCGTCTTACTAGAATGTTTCTGATACAAAATATATAGAGATTCATTTACACGTTGCACAGTAAACCTTTCATTGACATGGCCTCTGGGGATTAGAGAGGTACAACCCAAGGAGTTAAGATCCATTTAATAAACCATGATATTTACTTCTGACAAACATATAACATATAAAAGTACGAATAAGTTTATCAAGAAACATGATTTGCAAACTTTTAGTATATTGAGCAACTGAAAATTGAATAAATACTGAATTAAAATTGTATAATTGTGTGGAGCTTACCGGACATCAAGTAGGCCATAATACGTGTTGCGATATATTTATATTAAACAAAATATCGGTTATCATAAAACTTTATGAACATTTAATATATTTCAGCTAATTATGTATAACTTCTGATCATATAGAAATAACATGACATGATTATCATAAAACCGTCCCATTGTTTTCTACACAAGTTAGGAATGCAAAATGACAATGCCAGAAGTTACCACATATATATGTTTATCGTGTACATGTAAACAGCAAAATTAGTCCTCACCGTCTTCCGTGAGATTCCAGAACCGGATCACCAAGTCACCAGACGTGGATGCCTGAGGATTAATTCCCCCTCCCCAGATTGAGTCAATGTAAACAAGGTAGTTTTGTTGGATACTTCCCACTCGGGAGAGGTGAGGATTCCAGAACCTGACTCCGGTCTCAGAGTACGAGTACACTACCCCTCCATACGGCTCATCTGGCTGAGCATTTTGGACTGCCCCCATTGCTGGGAAGTTGAACCCATTGT